GACTCAATTAACCAAGGTCTAAGGGCGAGCGAATGAGATAGCATGGCTAAGCTGAAGGCTAGCACGCTTAAATAAATCACTGAAAACATCATAAAGATTACAAAGGTTGTACCTTGTACACCTTCCAGCTGGTTGCTAAAATGTGAGGGCGTGGATAACAGTGAGTTTTTTTAATCAATTAACACACTGACTGTCTACCTACCTGAGTCTTTAATATCCGGTTTAAAAGCAGGTAAGAAGCAAATCAGCCTTCAAAATAAAAGCTTCCCCCACAAACAATAAGAAACAGATGAATACGAAATAAGAATCTTCACAACAACAATTAACAATAAAGGTAAATACTTTTTAACTAGTAATACTTGTTTGATTTGTTGAAACCTGAGTCTTGTTAATGTAAAACTCATATTATTAATCCTGTAAAATAATTCATAATCACTTTACAGGTGGACCACAGTAAGTCATTCACAAAGCTTAATACTAACATTTATCTGTTTTAAGTCATTTATTAAATGCAGGTCTAGCTGCGTTCTTGAAGGAGTCTGTCCCGAGGATTCATTCTCAAAGTGGTTTCCTGTAAGGATTTCATTGGATGAGAGTAAACTAGAGGTTTCTTCGTCCATGTTTGTTGACTGTACTGTACAATGCAGCTGGAGAAGAAAGACATGAGATTATATGATAACAGGCCAACAGTGATCACAGTAAATGATGAAAACACAATAAACAGAATGATGAAAACAATAGTTTTTGTGGTTAAAGATCATGTTATGTGAGGAGTTGTTTTACCTCTGGGCTGCACCGCCGCTGTTAAAGTTAACCACAGAGTACTCAACCATCTCCTCTTGTTCTCCTTCTTCTTCTTCCTTCTTCTTCTTCTTGTGTGTTTGGGGTTTAACTGGTTGGATGTTGGAGTAGAGAGGATCAGCCTGGTTCCTGGAAAAGTCGACAGTGGCATATTGAAGCTCATCCTGCTCCTCTGCTGGTTGTATCTGTGAACACCGGACAACAAAGAGTATTCAATTATTTACAGACAGACTTTTGAAAGACAGGATTCAAGGCTTGAGTTATTTACAGAGACAGAAGTTGTAATTTTACTGAAAGCAAAAGAGGGAACTTGAGACTTGAATCAGAAACCAATCCTGTTTTTGGTGTTTCATTAAAAGCAGTTCATAATGTTATGGTTTGCCTTGTTGAATGCTGATGATCCTTGGGTGTCTTTATCATGGCCAGGAAAGCAACGCAACCCAAAAGGTCTCACTTTCCTTTTTTGGGGAGCTCTCAGAAAATCATCAGTTTTTTGGAAAAACCCAACATGTGAAGCACCAGGATGGAGAGAGCAAAAGCTTAAGCACTTACAGCAAACAAATAGGACAAACATTGCTGAAGGCAAACAAATCAAACACTATGTCAAGAGTTCAACCGTCCCTGATTCATAAATTCAGAGACTTCCTCACCTGTTCACTGTTCTCTGGTCTGTCTCCGGGCTCAGACGGTTGCTTGCAGGCCCTCTTCTTTCTGGTGAGGTGCATTCAAATAGAAAAGTAAACCATATTGTTGTTTGTGAGGGTACAATGCATTAATCATGAACAAGTATTTGCTGAAAAAGAACTGCTCACATGATCCATATGACGACAAAGATGAGTATGATAATGAGGAAAATAGCAGGAACTGTCACAGCAGTCGTCAGTTTCCATCCTCCTGCTGAAACAGACAGAGACAGAAAGTTAACCTTACAAGTAAAAACATGTCATGAACACATTTTTACAACTTATTGTATTTTCTTTTGGTGAAATTGAAAAAGAAATAAGACCCAAACGAAGGACAAACACCCTGTTACTGTTAAAAACAGACTACGATACTCACTTTTGACATTTATCAAAAACATTATTGTGACAAAGACTTAAAAATGTAACGTTTAGCTCAGCATCTCAAAACTACTCAACCAGGCATGCAACAGGAGGGAACTTCATTTTACCTAAAGCAAGAACCAACTCAATTAAACAAACAGTAAATGTTTCGAGCAATGCAGGAATGGAACTCACTTCAAAGATACATGAACTAAGAAAACAAGAAAACTAAATTCAAATGTTTATTAAAGCAGTATCTTTTGACCGAGTAAATTCATCTATTGTCATCCAACAAGCTATACATTTTATTTGATTTATGTTCCTCCTGTAACTCTTTGATTGTTTTATTTGCTTATTGTTTATGTGTGTGTATGTTTAGACAGATGCATTTTGCAGGTACATGTATATATATTCTAAATTCTAAACTAAACTGAACCCCTCTCAGAGTCTCTGGAAGGCGTCCTGTGAAGAATTCAATCGAGGAAGTCTTTAGTTATACCAAGAGACTGACTAATGGAGAACCTTTACGGAGGTCTATTGGGTGGCCTTCCCGACTGAATCAGAGTGTTGTTATTCCTTTAGACCGCTGTTCCTGTCATAGAGTCATATGACCTGTGAAACAGTGTGGGTGAAGCTTACCTTCCAAAACAGTCAGATGTACAGTGGAGTTATGACGTCCTCTGGTATTTTGGGCGATACAAATATAATGCCCACTGTGTTCAGGACTTGTGTTGTTTATGTTAAAGATCTGTCCTGAAGCTGTTGGTGAGTCTTCATCCTCCTTGAACCAGGTGTAATTAGCTGCTGGGTTAGCATCACTGCTACAGGTCAGAGTCACTGAACTGCCCTCCACTATCTCAGCAGAGGGACTCACTGACACAGAGGGAAGCTTTGGAGCATCTGGAGGACAACAATTATAGATTGAACTCCCATTAGTATTGAAATTCATGTTTTGAAAGAACTTTTGTAGCACGATAAGTAAAACTGAGTGTGACTTACACTGGACATCTAACAAATGTTGCAGAGATGTGATCTGTCCATGTTTATTCTCAGCCTGGCAGTAGTAAATCCCTCGGTCTTCAGACCTGATGGACGGGAAATAATAACTTTGCCCTTGTCCTTTAAGCAGGTTCTCCTTGAACCAGGTGTATTTAGCTGCTGGGTTAGCATCACTGCTACAGGTCAGAGTCACTGAACTGCCCTCCACTATCTCAGCAGAGGGACTCACTGACACAGAGGGAAGCTTTGGAGCATCTGATGATACATAAAAAAAAAAATTAAAAAAAGATTAATATAAAAAATGAGAACAAAAAATGTCAGAATTATAGTAATACTTGTCGTGAGTGTAAAAACGCTCCCAGATAAATCATCTTTTTGTTGCTTTTAATAATTGTTGATTCACTCACATTTCACATCAATAGAGATCCATTTATAGGTCGGCTTTCCCAGATCGTTCTCAGCTTTACATGAAAACTCTCCAGAGTCAGAGGACTGAACTGAGCTGAAGACGAGCTCTGATTCTTTACTGAGTTCATGACCGTTCACGTTGAACCAGGTGTATTCAGGTGCTGGGTTAGCATCACAGCTACAGGTCACAGTCACTCTACTGTTCTCTCTGATTTCACCAGCAGGACTCACAGATGCTGAACAAACTGATGGAGCATCTTGAGGAGAGAAGAATAAAAATATAACTGAAGTGACCAAAGAAGAATTAAGTGGAATAAAGTGCTGAGGGTGCAGATTGAAACCAGCTGACAACCCCTCCCTCGATGCTCCCCTCTTCACCTGCAGAGTTTACAACAATCATTAAAGCTCAGCGTACTCTGTACGATTGTTTGAAATTCATGGAGGAATGTCGACTCACACTGTACGAGTGAAATCAGGACAGAGCATTCACCATCATCAATAGATCTGTCTCATATGCACGACTCAAATACACACATGCCCAAAAAACACTTTCTCTCACACACACACACACACACACACACACACAATCACACACACACACACACACACACACACACACACACACACACACACACACACACACACACACACACACACACACACACAAACACACACACACACACACACACACACACACACACACACACACACACACACACAAACACACACACACACACACACACACACACACACACACAAACACACACACACACACAAACACACACAAACACACACACACACACACAAGCTTACTAGCAGCTAAATAATAACAAGTATTCCCTCTCAGCTGGAGGTCTGCAGATATTTCCTGTCATCGTTTCTTTTGGATTAAACAGGCGTGTCTACTGTTGCCATGGTGATTTAGGATGTTTTCTGTCAGTTTGCGCAGACACAATCAGGGGGGAAAAGTCCTGAAGTCGTGGGATCTGCGCATGGCTCTGCTATGTGAGTGTGGGCAGTCGTACAACCAAAATATCAAACGTGCCAGAAAATCATCCGACCAGTCTGAAGCAGCTGATCAGACAATGATAGGCTGTCGAGCCTCAGTGTACACTGCACAACTAACAACGGGAGATCAGGCAGAATGAAAAATCAGTCGACTCAAAGGTTTTGATGAAATCGTCCTGAAATGGCTCAGAGTCGCCCGGCTTCAGTAGACTGAAGGCCCGCTCTAAAGCAGCCGTTTGTTCTGAGTCTTCTGGTTTATTATAGAAACATGTGAAGCATTGTGAACTTTGTGAAGTGCAGACATAAACAATCATTAACATTACAAACTTTTAAAGTAATTAAACTCAAGTAAAAATATTTTAAATCGTCACATTAAAGTCCTGATTAAATCTCACACACTGGTCCTTTAACTTGAATCTGTCAAAGAGACTATAGTAGTGTGTTTATTTGTAGGTGAGAGTTTCTTCTTTACACATAATATCTTCAAGAACATTTCTGCTGTTTCACTCACATTTCACATTGATAGAGACGTATCCAGACCTCTTCCTCCCCAGCTTGTTCTCAGATCCACAGTAATACTCTCCAGAGGCCGAGGGTTGAATGTAGTTGAAGACCAGCTGTGCTCCTTCATGAAGGTATTGAGGGGTCTGATTTCTCTTGTACCATTTAAAAGTAGCTGCTGGGTTAGCATCACTGCTACAGGTCAGAGTCACTGAACTGCCCTCCACTATCTCAGCAGAGGGACTCACTGACACAGAGGGAAGCTTTGGAGCATCTGGAGGAGAAAACATCTGTTTTAAGTTCTCCTCAACATTAAAATGTTTGAATTGTCAAGATGAAAAAACTGAAATAATATTAGAGACATATCACATGAACAGAAAAGGGGATAAGAATGAGCCTGTTTCAATATATAGATAATTAATGATTCCTTTAAGTGACTCTGTTCCAGCAGCTACAATCACAGTCAAGACATCTCATAAAAACACTGAGTATAAGAACATGAAGCACATTAAAACAAGTGGATCAATTCAAACAATCTATTCTCACTAAGACAAAACTACTGATGACTCTCTCTTCATGTCTCAGTTTTAGGGATGTATCTGCTGCCCCCTTTTGGCCCAGCCCCTCTACTGACCAGCTGTCACTGGTTGTTAGTTCAGCATGGATAAATGTGTCTCTCCGGCTGCTGTCCGTGGTGCTGATCAGAGGCTGGGTTTAATGACAGTTTCATGGTGTTTTTCCACATGGTGACATTAATCGTCTGTTGTGGAATTGTCTGGAATGGTTGTGTGTGTCCGTTCAGGTTAGTGCAAACCAGCGTGCTCATCTGTTTGGTTCAAAGCAGAGGACTCATAGACAGTAAATATTAATGTTTGAAGCCTGAGTGACGTCAGCCATCTGTTCCTGCAGGGGGCTCCAGAGGCTCATCGGCAGCAGCCACCATGCTGGAAATGCTGTCTCAGTCTAACTTTCAGTCAACCTAACGACAGGCTGAGAGCTGAGGCGGGTTTTAAACCTCCTGATAAACCGTTACACCGCGCCCACCTGTCAATCATGTCAGCTACACACCTAACTATGAATAACACGTATCGTTTTCAAAATCAAAACAAAGCCGTTTGTAAAAAACTCACCCCCCATAAAGTGTGTGCCAGTGATGACAATAACTAATCAGACCTATTTGTTTTTTAACCAGGCTGTAAACATCTTTATTTATGCTGTAAAAACAGCTTTTTTTGCATGTCATGTGTATGTGACTTCCTGTGTTCCTGCAGCCAGCCTCTAGTGGAGAGTCGATGAACTGCAGGATTTTACACTTCAGCATTGGCTTCATTTTTCAGAACCGGAAGTTGCCGCTTGGGAGGACCCCAAAAATAAATATATCTGTACCGGGGCCCCAGGACAAGTATGTCACACTGCTGTATTCTCCTCTCTTCCCTTCAGGACTCCTCTTGTTCTCGGTTCAGACTTTGTTCTTCATTACACATCACAGCGTGTCCTCACAGCATCAGATGTTTGATATGATGTCGCATGACGAAGCATTGAACGCTTCTTGTCCACACTGGATCCATGAAATGTTTATTTCTCTGCTCTGTGAATTTCAGTTTCCTTTTGTAAACAGTATGACATCTCGTGCTTTTATTTTGAAGGTGAACAAACAGAACAGTGTTGCTTTAATACGAGCCTTTGATGGAGGAGAGCAGAATAAAGTTTTGCCTCCATGTTATCAAAAGTCAAAGCTCAACATGTCAATCATAGAAATGATCAATGCATCACTATCTCCACTTTGCAAAATAACTAATAACTAATAACAAGCTCTGTTGAGCGATGAGGTGTGAACAGTTCTGTTGTTTAAGAACACGTCACAAATCAGTCGAAGGTTTTTCTTTGGAACAAATTTAAGAAACTCTTCAGACGCTCACTCGGTCACGTGCTGTGAGGAGACGTTGGTACAGACAATCTCACACTGCTAACATGTATTATATAACTAACGCTCTACTCCAGCTATATTCAACATTTAAATTCAAATTAAAGATGTGTCTTTTAACCATTAGTTGTCAGTGCTCAGTGGGCTTTAGCTGCAGACTGTGAGTGTGAAGTAGAGCTAGAGGAAGCAGATATGATCAGCAAATTAAACCTTCAAATGAGAAATCAGCTCAATGTTGCTTTTCAAAGAAAATGTTTTTCACTCACATTTCACATCAACTTTGACGTATCCAGATGTCCTCTCTCCCAGATCATTCTTAGCTTTACAGTAATACCATCCAGAGTCAGAGGACTGAACTGAGCTGAAGACGAGCTCTGATTCTTTACTGAGTTCACGACCGTTCACGTTGTACCAGGTGTATTCAGGTGCTGGGTTAGCATCACAGCTACAGGTCACAGTCACTCTACTGTTCTCTCTGATTTCACCAGCAGGACTCACAGACGCTGAATAAACTGATGGAGCATCTTGAGGAGAGAAGAATAAAAATATAACTGAAGTGACCAAAGAAGAATTAAGTGGAATAAAGTGCTGAGGGTGCAGATTGAAACCAGCTGACAACCCCTCCCTCGATGCTCCCCTCTTCACCTGCAGAGTTTACAACAATCATTAAAGCTCAGCGTACTCTGTACGATTGTTTGAAATTCATGGAGGAATGTCGACTCACACTGTACGAGTGAAATCAGGACAGAGCATTCACCATCATCAATAGATCTGTCTCATATGCACGGCTCAAATACACACATGCCCAAAAAACACTTTCTCTCACACACACACACACACACACACACACACACACACACACACACACACATCACACACACACACACACACACACACACACACACACACACTCACAATCACACACACACACAATAACACACACATACACACAATCACACACACACACAATAACACACACACACACACAATCACAATCACACACACACACACACACACACACACACACACACACACACACACACACACACACACACACACACACACACACACACACTCACAATCACACACACACACAATAACACACACATACACACAATCACACACACACACAATAACACACACACACACACAATCACAATCACACACACACACACACACACACACACACACACACACACACACACACACACACACACACACACACACTCACAATCACACACACACACAATAACACACACACACACACAATCACAATCACACACACACACACACACACACACACACACACACACACACACACACACACACACACACACACACCACACACACACACACACTCACAATCACACACACACACAATAACACACACATACACACAATCACACACACACACAATAACACACACACACACACAATCACAATCACACACACACACACACACACACACACACACACACACACACACACACACACACACACTAACTAGCAGCTAAATAATAACAAGTATTCCCTCTCAGCTGGAGGTCTGCAGATATTTCCTGCCATCGTTTCTTTTGGATTAAACAGGCGTGTCTACTGTTGCCATGGTGATTTAGGATGTTTTCTGTCAGTTTGCGCAGACACAATCAGGGGGGAAAAGTCCTGAAGTCGTGGGATCTGCGCATGGCTCTGCTATGTGAGTGTGGGCAGTCGTACAACCAAAATATCAAACGTGCCAGAAAATCATCCGACCAGTCTGAAGCAGCTGATCAGACAATGATAGGCTGTCGAGCCTCAGTGTACACTGCACAACTAACAACGGGAGATCAGGCAGAATGAAAAATCAGTCGACTCAAAGGTTTTGATGAAATCGTCCTGAAATGGCTCAGAGTCGCCCGGCTTCAGTAGACTGAAGGCCCGCTCTAAAGCAGCCGTTTGTTCTGAGTCTTCTGGTTTATTATAGAAACATGTGAAGCATTGTGAACTTTGTGAAGTGCAGACATAAACAATCATTAACATTACAAACTTTTAAAGTAATTAAACTCAAGTAAAAATATTTTAAATCGTCACATTAAAGTCCTGATTAAATCTCACACACTGGTCCTTTAACTTGAATCTGTCAAAGAGACTATAGTAGTGTGTTTATTTGTAGGTGAGAGTTTCTTCTTTACACATAATATCTTCAAGAACATTTCTGCTGTTTCACTCACATTTCACATTGATAGAGACGTATCCAGACCTCTTCCTCCCCAGCTTGTTCTCAGATTTACAGTAATACTCTCCAGAGGCCGAGGGTTGAATGTAGTTGAAGACCAGCTGTGCTCCTTCATGAAGGTATTGAGGGGTCTGATTTCTCTTGTACCATTTAAAAGTAGCTGCTGGGTTAGCATCACTGCTACAGGTCAGAGTCACTGAACTGCCCTCCACTATCTCAGCAGAGGGACTCACTGACACAGAGGGAAGCTTTGGAGCATCTGGAGGAGAAAACACTTTTCATTTACTTTGAAAATCAATGTCAGGTCAAACTTTTTGAAGGTTAAAATGAGGAAGAGTTAACAGGTTATAAAACGTAAAGTCAAACACTGTGGAGTAAACTTACAGACTTCAGGAGAGCGGGAATCCTCTCGTCCTTTAACAGAGCAGGAATACTTGTTATTCTCATGAACAGAGACTCTAATAGAAGACGTCTCTGCAATCATTTTTTTTTCATTTCTGTACCAGACATATGAAGGATTATCAGCCACATTACAGCTGCTGTAACACTTCAGCTCTGCATGATTCCTTTTTCTTTCCACCTGCACCTGAAGGTCTGAACATGTGAAGAAAGTTAGAACATTAAAATAAACAAAAACAAAAAGATTCACAGTAGTATTAACTCTGAAAATGAAGAAAATACTTAAAATGAGAATGTTACCTGTGATGGACAAAGTGACTCCTTCATCACCAGTTAAACTTCCTCCTGGTTGGTTTGTTGTGAACATGAACTTGTAAACAGCTGAGTCTCTCTCTCTCAGGTTTTTGATTCTCAGAGTGCAGACGTTCTCATGAAAAAGATACTCAACACGACCTGAGTAGTCTGGGTCTGTTCTCACATCTACAGGTCCATACCTGTCTTTAGTAAACCAGAATCTGCTCTGAACTACAGTAGTTTGTTGTCTTATTGTTGATGGGTATGTGTAGCTGCAGGGTATCTCCACTGTTGATCCTTTGACGGCACAGATCTGAGCAGAAGAGTGAGTCACTCTCCAGCCCTGAAGCACTGCAACACAGAGCACATCAGGAAGTGGAATTAGATTCATAATAACAAATAGAATGGGACACAGGTGGCCTAGCGGTTAGTGCACAAGCCCCATGTACAAAGGCTTAAGTCTTTGAGGGCGTGCAGCCAAGGTTCAAGTCCAACCTTTGGCTCTTTTCCTACATGTCATTAGCCTTGCTCTCGATAATGAATAGTGAAAAACATTGTGAATAGAATTGAATAGAATTGAAGTTGTTTTCTCTCAGCAGTAAACATTGAGTATAAACAGGTGAAATCATTATTTGATATTTGAAAGAATGACAGACTTACAGACTTCAGGAGAGCGGTAAACTTCAAATCCTTTGAGAGAGCAGGAATACTTGTTATGATCATAATGAGAAACATGAAGAGAAGACGTCTCTTCAGTCAGTTTGTGTCCGTTCTCGTACCAGACATATGAAGGATTATCAGCCACATTACAGCTGCTGTAACACTTCAGCTCTGCCCAGGTCCAGACTCTCTCCACCTGCACCTGAAGGTCTGAACAGGTGGAGAACCAGGACAAATATTTCAAACTTAACTACTCAATGATACTCATATACAGACCTCTCACAGTAATATTTAGAACAAATCACAAATATTCTAATTCAGTTACCTGTGATGGACAAAGTGACTCCTTCATCACCAGTTAAACTTCCTCCTGATTGGTTTGTTGTGAACATGAACTTGTAAACAGCCGAGTCTCTCTCTGTCAGGTTTTTGATTCTCAGAGTGCAGACGTTCTCATGACGTTCTCATGAAAAAATACTCAACACGACCTGTAGTCTGGTCTGTTTTCACATCTACAAATTGATTATCATTCTTTTTAGTGTACCAGAAAGTTTCAACATCCATGTTATCATGCTCATTTA